GTTCCCGGCCCCCGCAGCCTCGATCCTTCCGCCTCAAACTTCCACGTAGCTGGAACTACAGGTGCGTGCTACCACGCCCGGCTAATTTTTTTTTTTGATTTGTTGTCGAGATGAGGTCTCACCAAGTTGCCCAGGCGGGTCACAAACCTGCAGGCTCAGGCAATCCACTCACCTCGACCTCCCAAAGTGCTGGGATTACAGGCTGAGCCACCGAGCCCGACCAATAACTCATTTTATCAGATGCTTACTACATGTAAGGTATTGTAGAAAAGTGTTTCTATCATTGTTTTACAAGCATGCCAAGCTAGTCCTGCTGGCCTGGACTCTGACCTATGCTAAAGCTCACTTTATTCTGCTTTCATCTACACCTCTGCCCAGTGGCACATAATAGGGATCAAATACATATTTGCTGAATGTATAAATGAATGATGGACTTTGTGGGTAAAAGTTGGTTGTTTAATGAAAAAATTATCCAGAAAAAGACGTGGTTACTAAAATGGAACCTTATAGTTGGGTACGTATTTTCAAGTGTCTGTTTCCATAACCCCGTTTTAGCAGGATTCCAAGTGTTCATCAGGTATTATGAGGTGATTTACTCTCAATAAACTCATTTTTAAGTTTGACATGCTCAATTATTAAATTACAGGGAATGATACAGGGACACGTTATCAGCATATTCCTGCTGCTGAGTAGTTCTACCCATGGAGACCAACTTAGAAATCAGAGGACTTACTGGGTGAACAAATAATAATTTCCATCTGGTAAGAAATGGTATAAATTAGCCGGCCTTGGTGGCTCAGCCTGTAATCCCGTGCCTTTGGGAGGCTGAGGTCAGTGGATTGCCTGAGACTGCAGGGTCAAGACCCGCCTGGGCAACTTGGCGAGACCTCATCTCTACAATAAATCAAAATGAGCTGGGTGTGGTAGCAGGCGACTGTAGTTCCAGCTACTTGGAAGGCTGAGGCGAGAGGATCGCTGGAGCCCAGCAGGTCGAGGCTGCGGTGACCGGGAGCGGCCACTGCACTCCAGTCTGGGCGACAGAGTGAGACACCGACTCAAAAAAAAAAAAAAGAAACGATATACAATTTTTTCCTGATCTTTCAATTTTTTTTTAGGTATTGCAGGATGCTGTGCCAAAACAACAGTTGCTCCGCTGGATAGAGTAAAAGTTTTACTACAAGCTCACAATCACCATTACAAACATTTAGGTGAGTTAATAGATGCTAAAGATAAAAATGAATGAAAATATTATCTGTTGGCTTGGTTTCCAGTTGTGAATTATAGTGGAAAGAGGGCACAAAAGGGAGTTCAAGTTTTCGGGCAAATTTTGTAAGGGGGCCAGGCTCGGTGGCTCAGGTTGTAATCCCGCGCCTTTGGGAGGCTGAGGAGAGTGGATTGCCTGAGCCAGTGGGTTTGAGACCCGCCTGGGCAGGCGAGACCTCATCTCTACAATAAATCAAAAAATTAGCCGGGCGTGGGAGCGCGCGCCTGTAGTTCAAGCTACTTGGAAAGCTGAGGTGGAAGGATCGCTGGAGCCCAGCAGGTCAAGGCCACGGTGGCCGGGAGTGGCCAATGTACTCCAGTCTGGGTGACAGAGTGAAACGCCAACTCAAAAAAAAAAAAAAAAAATCAAGAACATAGTTGTTCCTTACAAACATGAAAATCAGCCACTTGAGATGGACAGTCTGATAATTTATCATTGGTAGGAATAAATTTTTTACAGTCTTTTTGAAGGACATTTTGGCAGTATGCATAAAAGTCTTGAAAAGTACATACTCTTTGACCTTGCAATTCTAGTTCTAAGAAGTTATTCTTTTTTTTTGAGTTGGAGTCTCACTCTGTCGCCCAGACTGGAGTGCAGTGGCTCAGGCAATCCACTGACCTCAGCCTCCCAAAGGTGTGGGATTACAGGCTGAGCCACTGAGCTCGGCTTAAATATTGTTATTCTATAAACTTTAAATTTTTTTTTTTACTTTTTTTTTTTTTTTTTGAGTTGGAGTCTCACTCTGTTGCCCAGACTGGAGTGCAGTGGCCGCTCCCAGCCACCACAGCCTCGACCTGCTGGGCTCCGGTGTTCCTTCCGCCTCAGCCTTCCAAGTAGCTGGAACTACAGGCACGCGCTCCCACACCCGGCTAATTTTCTTTTGATTTATTGTAGAGATGAGGTCTCGCCAAGTTGCCCAGGCGGGTCTCGAACCCGCGGGCTCAGGCAGTGCACTCACCTCAGCCTCCCAAGGCGCGGGATTATAGGCTGAGCTACCCAGCCCGGCTTATTCTTACACATTTAAACCTCTGTCATCTTCAAAGGAATTGCTATTTGATGCAGTACATCTATTGGGACACTTTTTCCACTGCTCAAAGCAGTTTTGATCGCCTTAGTTTTGATGCCTTTTAGTACTTCTGCCATTGTTTGTTTCACCTCTTTCATGTCAACAAAAAGTTTCCCCCTTTTCTTTTTGGTGAGAAAGCAGGAATTTATTAAATCAGAAGAGCTCCCACATGGGAGGGGCCCCGAAAGAGGGTTGCCCAAAACATTTCCCTTTGAGGACTGTTTTCACCGGTGGAAACAAAAGTCATTCGGGCAAGATCCGGTGAATAGGGAGGGTGGGGCAGGTGGGTCATACCAGTTTTGATCGAAAACTGCTGAACACTCAGCGTGGTGTTGGGCAGATTGTTCAGGTAAATCACCCATCACGACATGGGCAAATTTGCTGAAAGAATCTCAAAAAAAAAAAAAAAAAAATTTACTGAAGCCGAGCGCAGCTTCTCACATTAGCTGGTACACTGATGCTGTTGGGTTCTTGGAACACTAACCTAGTGGGGGAAAGCCTGAACTACAAAGACTTTGCCTCCCGAAAATAAAATGCTATTGTTTTTTCTTTTTTCTTTCAGTTTTTTTTTTTTAAATTATAAAGATGTGGAGTACAATTCAGGGTTAGGTATACAATATTGTTTTTTCAGTCCCCCCTTGCAGGGATCAAAGCATTATTTATATTATTAAAAAGAAAAACCCTAAACAACGTAAAATATTCAATAATAGGGAATTCACAAAATAAGTTTTAGTTTATTTATATTATAGTCTATTTTATAATCATAAAAATTGGTATCTGCTGCAAAAAAATTATAAAAGAATATTAATTAACTGGAAACAATATTCATAATACTTTATTTTTTAATTTTTTTATTTTTTTTTGAGTCGGAGTCTCACTCTGTCGCCCAGACTGGAGTGCATTGGCTGCTCCTGGCCACTGCAGCCTCGACTTGCTGGGCTCCGGCCATCCTTCTGCCTCAGCCCTCCAAGTAGCTGGAACTACAGGCGTGCACTACCACGCCTGGCTAGTTATTGATTTATTGTAGAGATGAGGTCTCACCAAGTTGCCCAGGTGGGTCTCGAACCCGCGGGCTCAGGCAGTCCACTCACCTTAGCCTCCCAAGGCGGGGGATTACAGGCTGAGCCACCGAGCCCGGCTCATAATACTTTAGATGAAGAATATTACAAAATAATTTATTCATATTGCATTTTATATAAATACACATTTTTTTAGACAAAAGACTGGAAGGATAAATATTAACAGTAAGTGGTTAGTTTTGAGTGGTGGGGTTATAGAAGATATTTTTCCTCTTAGCTCATTTGTAAAGCATGTTGAACATATTACTTTTTCAACCAGGGGATGGGGAAAGATTTAAAAGTAAAAAACATTAATGTGGACAGAGACCAGGAAAAAAATTAGGTTGGGGTCACTAACTCATAGTACTCCATTGCTTTACAGTTTCATGCTTCAGTAGATAGAAACCACATATGCTGTGTATGATCTGTGTAGCATGGTATACAGAAAGATGTTTAACAGGGTGAATAAGAATCAATTATTTTTCCAATTAAGTTGTTAGGATGAAATTAACTAGCTCATTTTCTTGTCAGTATTTTTAAAGTTACGGAAGTCTGTACTTGAAAGAAAAAAATTGAAAGAAAAAAAATTACAACCATCTCTGAATTTTATGTCCTCACACAATGTATTGCTCATGTATAGAAAGAATCAGACCTTTGACCTTATTGAGAGATGACAAAAAACTGGAACGGAAGAAAATTATTTTCCTTTGTTGTCTAAATTGAGGGCAAAAATGACATGAATTATATTACCCAATATCTTGGGTGTTTTGCAATGCCCCAGCATATGAATGTCTGAACAGAATGGTTTTATTCCTTTAACCTTCTCCCCATGCTGATGTATGTTGTTTTGTTTCCTGACTTGTAATCATTAGATTACATATTCACAGTAGATTTCACGCTCCACAGGGCTGCATGCCACGGGTTACCCTGTACCCCACAAGGCATACAGAATTTGAAGTAGATTTCCTGGAGCGCAACAATGAACTCCTGGAGCACTATTTGGAGTATTGTGTATCTTTAAAATATACATGCCAAAAAAAACTCCTTATTGGCGTCTTTAAATTTTATTTTTAAAATGTTTTAAAGTGTTTTATTCTAGTACCTCCTTTATATGTATAAAATAGTTTTTAAATTTTTTATTTTTATTTATTTATTTTTTTGCATTGGAGTCTCACTCTGTCGCCCAGACTGGATTGCAGTGGCCGCTCCCGGCCACCGCAGCCTCGACCTGCTGGGCTCCGGCGATCATTCCGTGTCAGCCTTCCAAGTAGCCAGAACTACAGGTGCGCGCTACCACGCCCGGCTAATTTTTTATTTATTGTAGAGATGAGGTCTCGCCAGGTTGCCCAGGTGGGTCTCGAACTGGCGGGCTCAGGCAATCCACTCACCTCAGTCTCCCAAAGGCGCAGGATTACAGAGTAAGCCACCGAGCCCGGCTTTTTTTTTTTTTAATACATGGTTTTTTGTAGCCAAAGTTATAACGATATACTTTCAAACAAGCCTATCACTTCTCCCTTAGCTCATTTTTAAAAATGTGACATTATTTCTGAGGCATCAAAAGCTACTTGAATTTAATTTTATTATTTATTTATTTATTTATTTTTTGAGTTGGAGTCTCACTCTGTTGCCCAGACTGGAGTGCAGTGGCCGCTCCCGGCCACCGCAGCCTCGACCTGCTGGGCTCCGGCGATCCTTCCGCCTCAACCTTCCAAGTAGCTGGAATTACAGGCACGCACTACCAATGCCCGGCTGATTTTTTGATTTATTGTAGAGATGAGGTCTCGCTGCCTAGGCGGGTCTTGAACCCGCGGGCTCAGGCAATCCACTCACCTCAGCCTCCCAAAGGCACGGGATTGCAGGCTGAGCCACCGAGCTTGGCACTACTTGAATTTTAAATCAAAATTATTTTTGCCAAATGAAAAGGAAGAAATATATTTAAAATTTCTTCTTCCTGGCCTGACACAGTGGCTCACTTCCTTAATTCTGGCACTTTGGGAAGCCATGAAAGGAGGATCACTTGAGGGCAGTAGTTTGAGACCAACCTAAACAAAATAGTGAGACCCCTGTCTCTATAAAATAAAAAAATTTAAAAATTTTCTTTTTCCAATTTGCAATGTCAGTGTCAGAAACTTTTTCCTGTAATATATTGACAATCTTTGACCTCTATTTAGCTTTCTCCAGTCAAATGTGGTCTAAAAACAGTAAATCACAATAGGATTCTTTTAAAATGTTTACTTTAATTTTATTGCTTTTGCATTTTATTTTTTAATTTATTTTTAAAATTATATTTTCACAAGATATATAATAAAAAGTATAAAAGCAAAACATCTTCCTCCCTTCCTTGTTGCTTCCTTGGAAATTAAGCGTTTTATAATTTTCTTTCAATTCTTTCCAGAGCTAATGCATACATATGTAAGCATATACTTATATTTTACCAAATATTAGTAGGTCCTGACATTGATGTAACCTACAACAGACCTACCTTCTAATCTAGCTTGATAAAATAAGTAAAGATACAGAGGTAGATTTAAATAACATACAAGCTTGATGTAACAGATTCAATAGGGATCTTTCCCGGGCTCGGTGGCTCAGCCTGTAATTCCTTTGGGAGGCTGAGGTGAGTGGATTGCCTGAACCCGCGGGTTCAAGACCCACCTGAGCAGCTTGGAGAGACCTCATCTCTACAATAAATAAAAAATTAGCTGGGTGTGGTAGCGCGTGCCTGTTGTTCCAGCTACTTGGAAGCCTGAGGCGGAAGGATCATCGGAGCCCAGCAGGTCGAGGCTGCGGTGGCCGGGAGCGGCCACTGCACTCCAGTCTGGGTGACAGAGTGAGACTCCAACTCAAAAAAAAAAAAAACAACAAAAAAACAAAGTGGGCAAAAGATATGAATAGACAGTTCTGAAAGAAGATGTATGAGCAGCCAACAGATACATGAAAAAATGCTCAGCCTCACTAGTCATCATGAAATGCAAATTAAAACCACACTGCAATACCACCTAACTCCGGTCAGGATGACTATCATCAATAACAAAAAACAACAGATGCTAGAGAGGATGTGGTGAAAAGGGAACATTTCTACACTGTTGGTGGGAGTGTAAGCTAGTATAACTTCTGTGGAAAATAGTGTGGTGATTGCCAGAAGATCTAAAAAGACCTTCCATATGACCCTGCAATCCCCCTACTGGGAATATACCCAGAAGAACTCAAAATCAATCTATAAAAAAGATGCCTGCACAAATATGTTTATCGCAGCATTGTTCACAGTAACAAGAACATGGAACCAACCATGCTGCCCATCAAAAAAGGACTGGATAAAAAAAATGTGGTACATATACACGATGGAATATTACGCAGCCATAACGAAGACCAAAATCATGAACTTCACAGCAACCTGGAGGAATTAGAGTCTATAATACTGAGTGATCTTTCACAGAAACAAAGAACTAAGTGTCATGTTCTCACTCATAAATGGACTTTGAACAATTATTGTAATACTATAAGAGAATGACTGACAGTAGTGGGAAACTGCCGGGAGGGGGACAGGGATGAAGGATCGGCAGTAGTGGGAATCTGCCTGGGGCGGGGGGGCACACCTCATTAACAAGGGTACCTGCAAAATGAACATTTGTATACCTAATCCTGAATTATACCCCACATCTTTAAAATAAAAATAAATAAATAAAAGATAAAAAATAAAAAAAGAACAGGGCTTTGGAAATAAACATCATTAGTATCGTTGAAACTGCCTCTATACTTCTACCTTACCATCAGCCTTCCTGTCCCTAACAGGTAGCCATTGTTCTAAATGTGATTACCCTTTAATTGTTATAAACACTTTTGAATCAAATTAAACAGGGCTTAACCTTTGTTTCCTCTTCCAGCAAGAGGCAGTCTTTAATAGAATTATTGTTAATTGAATGTTAGTGTATTTAGATAGCTGCTTATTACTAAATGCTTTTTGGGATTTGTCTTTTTCTTGGATGTTAAGTACCTACAATTTTAATACTGAGAAGGGCTGAAAAGATTATTTGCAATCTAAAATTTGAAATGAGCCAAGTGATTTCCTTTTAGAGTTGATCAAATTTCTGCTTGAAAAATTTGAAGGGGAACTTGAATTTAAATAGTTGAGTAATGGAAGTAGTGATGTGTTTATGAGAAGTCTGTATACTGCTAGTAGGATCAGTGACTAAGAGTAATAAACATATCAATGTATATTGATCAAAATTCAGACCTTTGTTTATCATTATTCCTTTTTAAAGTGTCCTAATTATGAAATGTGTCCCTACATTTAAACAGTTTTAATAAGTAGTCTTGTTTTGTTTTGTTTGAGTCAGGGTCTCACTCTGTTGCCCAGACTGGAATACAGTGGCACAATCATGGCTCACTACAGCCTTGACCTCCTGGGTTCAGGTGATCCTTCTACCTCAGCCTCCCAAGTAGCTGGGACTACAGGCAGGCTCAACTATATTGGGATTATTTTTGACTTTTTTTTTTTTTTGAGTTGGAGTCTCACTCTATCACCTAGGCTGGAGTACAGTAGCATGCTCACGGCCACTGCAACCTCAACCTGCTGAGCTCAGGTGATCCTTACAAGTAGCTGGAACTACAGGCACATGCCACCATGCCCGACTAATTTTTAGATTTATTGTAGAGATGAGGTCTTGCCAAGTTGCCCAGGCTGGTCTCGAACCCATGGGCTCAGGCAGTCCTTTCACCTCAGCCTTCCAAAGTGCTGTGATTATAGCCGTGAGTCACCGTGCCTGGCCTAATTTTTGACTTTTTGTAGAGATGAGGTCTCACTATGTTGCCTAGGCTGGTCTTGAATTCCTGGACCCAAGCAATCCTCCTGCCTTGGCCTCCCAAAATGCTGGGATTACAGGCATAAACCACTGTCCCTGGTCTAGGTAGTCTTTTTGTTTGGTTGTTTCATTTAGCAGCTTCCTTATGTAAACAACACATATGGGTCTGACTTAGTCTGCGAAACCTTCCTTCATCCTTCCAGATAGAGCAGATTACCTTCAGTGCAATACCTGGACCCTGAATATATTTCTGCTGTTAATAGTTTTTAGATTGACATAGTGCAATATAATTTGCTATAATTATATATATGATTTGCCATAATTTGTAGCTGTTCTGGCTACCATAGGTTTAATTTTTTTTTTTTAAGTTGGAGTCTCACTCTGTCACCCAGACTGGAGTGCAGTGGTACGCTCCTGGCCACTGCAGCCTCGACCTGCGTTCCGGCATTCCTTCTGCTTCAGCCTTCCAAGTAGCTGGAACTGCAGGCACGCACTACCATGCCCGGCTAATTTTTTGATTTATTGTAGAGATGAGGTCTCGCCAAGTTGCCCAGGCGGGTCTTGAACCTGCGGACTCAGGCAATCCACTCACCTTGGCCTCCCAAAGCGCTGGGATTACAGGCTGAGCCACCGAGCCTGGCTAGGTTTAATATTTTTATATGAGGTGTATTTATATAATTTTGATATATGATGTATTTTTTTGTTTTGTTTTTTGAGTTGGAGTCTCACTCTGTCGCCCAGACTGGAGTGCAGTGGCTGCTCCCAGCCACCGCAGCCTCGACCTGCTGGGCTCCAGCAATCCTTCCACCTCAGCCTTCCAAGTAGCCGGAATTACAGGCACGCGCTACTACGCCCGGCTGATTTTTTGATTTATTGTAGAGATGAGGTCTTGCTGCCCAGGCGGGTCTTGAACCCACGGGCTCAGGCAATCCACTCACCTCAGCTTCCCAAAGGCGCGGGATTACAGGTTGAGCCACCGAGCCCGGCGATATATGATGTATTTTAAGTAAGTTTAACTGTTCAATAGAAATTTCTGTTTGCATAATTCCTCAAGCAAAATTATATATGTATGATGGCATAGTAATCTTTATCTATGATTGTCATGAAAATTTGGTTGTAGATACCTTTCTCTGTTTTAATAGTATTTTTTTTCTAAAATTCTTTCTAAAACTAGGAGTATTTTCTGCATTGCGTGCTGTTCCTCAAAAGGAAGGATACCTTGGATTGTATAAAGGAAATGGTGCAATGATGATTCGAATCTTTCCCTATGGTGCAATCCAGTTTATGGCATTTGAGCAATATAAAACGGTAGGTGAACTTTCATCTTTTTTCTTTTGTGTCCTTGTATATCTTGCTTACTTGACCAGTGATTGCTTTGGACTTTAAAGTTACTTTTATTTAAGTTACTTTTGATGACTGGATAACATAATGCCTTTTGTAAGGAGTAAGACTTGTGATAGTTGGGATTTTTAAAATATAAGTTGGTTTTGGAGTGACCTATTCCAGAATTGTTAGTAATTTCTGAGTAGACTTTTAAATTTTTTTTATTTTTTAGAGATAGGAGTCTTGCTATTATTGCCCAGGCTGGTCTTGAATTTTTGGTCTTAAGTGATCTTTCTGTTTTGGCCTCCCAAAGTTCTGTATATAGATGTGAGCCTAGCTAATTCTTTTTTTGATTTATTTTTGAGTTGGTATCTCACTGTCACCCAGGCTAGAGTACAGTGGCACTCTCACGGCCACCACAACCTCTACTTGCTGGACTCGAGCAATTCTTCTGTTCCAGCATTCCATGTAGCTGGAACCACAGGCATGTGCCTCCACACCTGACTAATTTTTTGATTATTGTAGAGACGAGGTCTCGCCAATTTCCCCAGGCTGGTCTTGAAACCCCCAGGCACAGGCAGTCCTCTCACCTCTACCTCCCAAAGTGCTGGGGTTACAGGTGTGAGCCATCGTGCCTGGCTTGGCCAAATTCTTTATGTTCATACATGGAGAAAAAAAGCCAGGCCATTTTTCAAGAAGATAATAATAAATCCATAAAATATTAAGAGCTTTTTTCTAATTTTTGAATTTTATTTATTTTGTGGAGATACCCCTTGCTCTGTTGCCCACGTTGGAGTGCAGTGGCACAATCATGGCTCACCATAGCCTTGACATTTTGGGCTCAGGTGATCCTTCCATCTCAGCCTCCCAAGTAGCTGGGACAACAGGTGCATGTCATCTCACCCAGCTAATTTTTTTTTTGAGTCAGTCTTACTCTGTTGCTTTTTTCAAGAAGGCTGGAGTGTAGTGGAATGCTCACGGCCATGGCAGCCTCGACCTGCTGGGCTCAGACGATTCTTCCACTTCAGCCATCCCAGTAGCTGTAACTACAGGCATGTACCACCACATCCAGCTATTTTTTTTTTTTTTTGAGGTGGAATCTCTCTCTATTGCCCAGGCTGGAGTGCAGTGGCACACTCACAGCCACCTCAGCATCGACCTGTTGGGCTCTGGTGATCCTTCCACCTCAGTCTTCCAAATAGGCGGATTTACAGGTGTGCACTACCACGCCGGGCTAATTTTTGATGTATTGTAGAGATGAGGTCTTGCCAAGTTGCCTGGCTGGTCTCGAACCTCTGGGTTCAGGCAATCTACTAGCCTTGGCCTCCCAAAATGCTGGGATTACAGGTGTGAGTCACTGTGCCCAGCTGCCTAGCTAATTTTTTGACTTTTTGTAGAGACAAGGTCTCACCTGGGGCTTCTCTCAAACTCTTGAGCTCAAGCAATTCTTCCACCTCAGCCTCCCAGAGTACTGGGATTATAGGCATGAGCCACCGTGCCTGGCCTTGGATTTTCTTTTTTAAATAAAATAGTGAAACTGTATTGTGAAAGTCTGTTCTGGAGTAAGTTAATAACTTGTCCTGTGGTACTCATTGATTCAGTTTCTCTTCTCTGGCTTAGTGAAAGTTCATCTCCTCAAACATTATCTTAACACAGAAAGGGGTGTCTTAGAATGAAAAGTAAGCAGTAGAGAAGAGAACATTCTAAACTAATCAGTCAGTTAGAATTGCGGCTCTCAGTATATCAATACTTTTTGTCTATAGTAGCACTTTTTGAAAATAGTAGCATTTTATTCCTACCACCCTCATTTGCACTTTAAGGTTATGGGCCTTTATATGTAATATTACATATTTAGCAATTCTGAGCTATATTGCCTCTAAAAAAAGGGCAAGAAATTAAAGCAGATGCTTCAGAGGAAGTATCTCCTTCTGATGAGATGTAACACTGCCAAACTTTATAATTGTGCTCAATAGCCGGGCTTGGTGGCTCAGCCTGTAATCTCATGCTTTGGGAGACTGAGGTGAGTGGATTGCCTGAGCCCGCGGGTTCGAGACCTGCCTGGGCAACTTGGCAAGATCTCATCTCTACAATAAATCAAAAAATTAGCCAGGCGTGGTAGTGTGCGCCTGTAGTTCCAGCTACTTGGAAGGCTGAGGCGGAAGGATTGCTGGAGCCCAGCAGGTTGAGGCTGCAGTGGCTGGAAGCGTGCCACTGCACTCCAGTCTGGGCGACAGAGTGAAACTCCAACTCAGAAAAAAATTGTGCTCATTTCATTCACATTTATTACTAATTTTCTTTTTCTAATCCTATAACTCTTTTGAAATAAGTCTTCATTATTAAATATTGAAATGGGCTGCATTTAAAAAATATCTCATTTAATTCAGTGCTTTTGGTTTCTAGTTAATTACTACAAAGCTGGGAATTTCGGGTCATGTGCACAGATTAATGGCTGGATCCATGGCAGGTAAGAGGAGTTAGGTATATTTTATTTCTGTTAAATTAATTTTATATTAATATACTTAATTTGGTTTAGATAATTTGTGTGACATTGATTAGGTAGCACACATTTGTTAGCAGAAAGCTATACTCAGTTATATAAGAAATCATTAATAACCCAACTCAAAAAAGAGTATTTTACAGTAAGGAATAGTCTAAGTGTATCACTATGTGAAAAGAAGGTATTCCCTTTCAATTCTTTTTTTTTTTTGAGTTGGAGTCTCACTCTGTCACCCAGATTGGAGTGCAGTGACCGGGAGCGGCCACTGCAGCCTCGACTTGCTGGGCTCTGGCGATCCTTCCACCTCAGCCTTCCAAGTAGCTGGAACTATAAGCGCACGCTACCACACCCGGCTCATTTTTTTGATTTATTGTAGAGATGAGGTCTCATCAAGTTGCCCAGGTGGGTCTCGAACCCGCGGGCTCAGGCAATCCACTCACCTCAGCCTCCCAAAGCGCGGGATTACAGGCTGGGCCACTGAGCCCGCTTCCCTTTCAATTCTACTTTTAAAAATGTATCTGTTTTCTCTTCTAAAAATTTAAAAAATTATAATGACTATAACAATACCTTCTTCCTAGACATGGAAATAGTTCCATTCCTGAGACACAGTCATGATTGGCAGTTTCTTTTTTTGTTTTTTGTTTTGAGTTGGAGTCTCAGTCTGTCATGCAGTGACATGCTCACAGTTCACTGCAGCCTTGACTTGCTGGGCTCAGGTGATCCTTTCACCTCAGCCTCCAAATAGCTGGAATTACAGGTACGCGCTACCACACCTGGCCAATGTTTTGATTTACTGTAGAGATGAGGTCTCACCAAGTTGCCCAGGCTGGTCTTAGACCTCTGCCTCAGCCTCCTGAAGTACTGGGATTATAGGTGTGAGCTACAGCACCTGGCCTGTTTTTCTAATATTATTCTATGGAAGGAGGATCTTGTTATCTTAAGACGTTTTTCTATATTAGCACATAGTAGATCTGCCTTTTTTCTTTTTAGAGCTGTGTTGTATTCTAAGGTATGAATATAGCTTGATTTATTTAATCTGGTCCCCTACTGATTGTCATTTGGGATATTTTCTTTCTTTCTTTCTTTGTTTTTTTTTTTTTTTGAGTTGGAGTCTTACTCTCTGGCCCAGGCTGGAGGGTAGTGGCATGCTCATGGACACTGACCACAGCCTTGATCTGCTGTGCTCAGGTGATCCTTCTGCCTCAACCTTCCAAGTAGCTGGAACTACAGGCATGCACTGCCATGCCCGGCTAATTTTTTGATTTATTATAGAGGTGAAGTCTCGCCAAGTTGCCCAGGCTGGTCTTGAATGTGGACTCAGGCAGTCCTCTCACCTCGGCCTCCCAAAGTGCTGGGATTACAGGCTTGAGCCACTGTGCCTGGCCATATAAGATTTATTTCATATCTATATTTCTGACTTTCTCCAACAGAGGTACTTTATCTGATTGTAGCATTGAGAACACTGTAGTGCTGTCATTTGTTTATTCTGCTTGCCAGTCTGGATCTATGGTTCCTTCTAAGTAGAAGGCAAATTTTATTCATTCTTCTATGCCTGGATCCTATCTGTGGCCTCTTTTATAGGCACTAATCCCATACTTAAGGACTGTGTTCTAACCACCTCCTGAAGGTCCCACCACTTATTACTGTTGCATTGGGGATTAGGTTTTAATATATAAATTTTTGAAGGACACAAACATTCAGACTGTAGCCCAACTGGTATAGAAATATTTCCATATTTTGACCAGACATGGTGGCTCACGCCTATAATCTCAGCACTTTGGGAGGTCAAGGTGATAGGATTGTCTGAGTCAGGAGTTCAAGATCAGCCTGGGTAAGGTGAGACTTCAGCTCTACAATAAATCAGGAAAAGTTAGCCGGGCATGGTGGCTCATGCCTATAGTTCCAGCTACTTGAAAGACTGAGGCAGAAGGATCGCCTGAGCCCAGCAGGTCATCTGATTATTATGTACAAAATCATAAATTTTAATATTTAGAAACATTAAAATGTCTCTTCTGTAAACTGAGGGTAATCATAGCACTTTCCTCATACTTTTGTTCTGTGGACTGCATGTCAAGTGTCAAAGATTACAAGAGCTATGTCTGTGTATGGCACACAGCAAGTAATCATACTTGTTAGCTACTGTTACTCACCAGTACCATCATGCCAGTGTGAAATACAGAAATTTTTTTTTTTTTTTTTTTGAGTAGGAGTCTCACTCTGTCACCCAGGCTATAGCGCAGTGGCACACTCACGGCCACCGCAGCCTTGACCTGCTGGGCTCTGGCTATCCTTCCACCTCAGCCTTTCAAACAGCTGGAACTATAGGTGTGTGCTACCACGCCTGGCTTATTTTTTTATTTATTGTAGAGATGAGGTCTCACCAAGTTGCTCATGCTGGTCTTGAGCCCCCAGGCTTACCTTGGCCTCCCAAAGTACTGGGATTACAGGCTGAGCCACTGAGCCTGGCCCCAAATTTGATTTTTTTTTGGATTGGAAAATGTAGTTTATTTAGAAAGTAAATATGAGAGAGAGAGAGAGAGAGAAAGAGAGGAGATTCATCTCTCCAACATAGGAGAGGGGGCCAAAGCTTAGGAAAACAGGGCCTGGCCATGATCAGAGAACACATGACCAGACCACAGCATAGCAAAGCAATGGCCAGAAAGTAAATGAGAGAGAGACAGAGAGAGAGAGAGAGAGAGAGAGAGAGAGAGAGAGAGAGAGAGAGAGAGAGAGAGAGAGAGAGAGAGAGAGAGAGGAGAGAGAGGAGAGAGAAGAAATTCACCTTCCCAAGGTAGAAGAGGGGCTAAAGCTAAAAAAACATGGTGGCCACAGCTTAAAGAACACATGGCCAGACCATAGCTTAACAGAGCAATGACCCCCAAATTTGATTTTTAAAGACAAAAGCTTTTAAAAATTCTAGCTATTACAGTTAAGGCTAGTGCTACCGCTATCTAATATTTCTATTTTTATTACCATGTTGAAGTACTTACAATTTATATTTTGTTCCTATGATTTAAAGAGTTGAAATGAATGTTCTGATTAGTTTTATTTCTGTCTGGTATCTTTGCTTCTATACTTTTGGTGGCCTCTAAATGTAACTTTGGAAATTTTATATTTGCCAAAGTAAAAAGTGGTGCTTTTTGTGATTATTCCAATAGAGCTTATTTTAAAGCTACTTTTTAACTTTAAGCTTTCCTTCATCTTACAACTACAATCCAGTACGTGCCGAATCTCAGTTGACCAGAAAAAGGAAAATTGTAGACTGAGAATCAAGGTTTGTATATTTAAGGAAGGCCTTCTCCTTTCTTTCCTTATGTATGTTTCAATTGTCTGAAATCCATCTAGCTCTTCCAGTTTCCATGGAACTAAGGGTGATAAGATAAATAAAAGAAAAAAAAAGCCATAAGTGATGAGCTGAGCTTTGATTGCTGGCTTTTCTGGTCTACTCCTGCTTGGTGTTCTGGTCCAAAGTTGGGTGGTTGAGTAGACAGCATCCATGCTGGGATACTGGCTGGCTGCTATTACTTACCTGCCCTTTGACCAAAGACAGATTATCCATAACCTCTGCAACTCACTTACGTGTTTGCTAAAGTGGAGTTTGTCTGTATTGCAGTTGTTCTGAGTAAAGAATTGCTATGAAAACATTCTGAAAGATTTGAAATTTTCCATCAATATGAGGGAATGTTATTAAACTTTGCATGTCAGAGAGTGGTTGCATGCACTTAAACTAGCCACCTGAATTCTTTATTCTTTTTGTCTCATTTGTAACATAGTGAAAATTCTAGTTGTAATAGAAGTGATAGTCAAAATATTTAACAACTGCTATAGCAAAAGCAGTAGTCAATCCAGCAGAGGCTGGACATGAGCCACCAGAATGACTGTATGGTTTGAATATTAAAATAGGATACTTACTATACTTTGTGGATCTCAAAGACACTTGGAAGCACCTCTACCAAAAACTTTTCTTTTCTTTTTTTTTAATGAATTTATTTTTATTTTTATTTTTTTTGAGTTGGAGTCTCACTCTGTCGCCCAGATTGGAGTGCAGTGGCTGCTCCCGGCCACCGCAGCCTCGACCTGCTGGGCTCTGGCGATCCTTCCGCCTCAGCCTTCCAAGTAGCTGGAGCTACAGGCGTGCGCTACCACGCCCAGCTAATTTTTGATTTATTGTATAGTTGAGGTCTCGCCAAGTTGCCCAGGTGGGTCTCGAACCTGCGGGCTCAGGCAATCCACTCACCTCAGCCTCCCAAAGGCGTGGGATTATAGGCTGATCCACCGAGCCCGGCCCAAAAACTTTTATATTTAAAAGGAACTCTCCTGGGCGCAGTGGCTCACCTCTCTACTCCTAGCACTTGGGGAGACGGAGGCGAGAGAATTGCCTGAGCCTGGGGTTCGAGACCAGCATGGGCAACTAGGCAAGCCCTTGTGTCTACGATAAATCAAAAAATTAGCCTGGCTTGGTGGTACGTACCTGTAGTTCTAGCTACTTGGAAGGCTGAGGCGGAATGATCACCTGAACCCAGCAGGTAGATGCTGTGTTGGCCACGAGCATTCCACTGTAATCCAGCCTGGCCTACAGAGTGAGACTCTGACTTAAAAAAAAAAAAAAGGGAAATATATCCCCCTCGAGCTCTGATCCACAATTCAAAAACAACAAGCTTCATACATATTTGGAAAAATCCTCTTCTGAGCTGTTCGTCCAACTCTTGAATTTTTAAAAATCATAACTTAAGTAAGTTCTAATAATAGAATTTGAGTTTTTATTTGCTTTTCAGGTTTTTTTTTTGAGTCAGAGTCTCACTCTGTCGCCTAGGTTGGACACCACAGCTTCGACTTACTGGGCTCAGGCGATCCTTCCATCTCAGCCTTCCAAGTAACTGGAACTACAGGCATGTGTCACCATGCCCAGCTAATTTTTTTTTTAATTTATTGTAGGGACAAGGTCTCACCAAGTTGCCCAGACTGGT